GAGGAATTTGGGTTGACCCTTTACAGGAATATCATCTCTCAGATGGGACACTTTGCTCTATAGATGTCTCTGTCCATTTCAATTATCTTCTTCAGGGAGAGTTTATGGTATTGACTGCTGCTGCTCCAAGTTTAGGCATTTCTGTTAGTCCCTCAGTTTGGAGGGACTAGGAGCAGAATTATCAGCGCAGATACTCTGATTTGCTGCCTTCTAGCATCAAATCTGATTACCTAAACTTAAAATTTGGTGTGTGGAGTGCATGCTGTATCACACTGATCATGCAGTTGCTAGGGTTTGTATGGGAGGAAGCACATTGCAAGGAATGTAAATTGCTAATGCAGATGGTGTCAGTGTGGTTCCCTGTCACAGCTGCCAGAGAAATGGATTTTCAGAAAACTCAGTCCTGAAATACCGTTTTGCTGTCTAACAAAGCATTTCCAAGTATAATTTCTTCTAACTGTGCCCATGATCATTTGCATCAGCGGTAGTGGAAGTGATCACAAAGTAAAATTACTAGGCTATCTAGGTCAGGTCAAACTAGCAAATTTTGTTTCATGACTTAGAAAGCATCTTTGACTGTCAAATGCATTGTATAAATATTTTAAAAATGGTAAGATGGCAAAATCAGATATGTCAGAGTTAATGGCTGAAAAAAATCAACTCTTTTGTCTGTATGAATTTTGATTAAGCTTTCCATGACACAGGATATATGTTTCCAACATAGGTTGTGTTTCTCATTCTGTACCATTGATACATGTGACTATCTAAATAATGTGTTTTTAAAAACTATTTTTTCTGCTAATCCATGTAATTCAGTGTGTGGTTCCATGTATTATTTATTGCTGTGCATTCAAGTCTTGTAGTGAGCACAGAAGAGGAATATTTATTATTACTATTTAATATTAATAGAGTTGAATGAAATGTGGTCACTGTAAGAAGTGACCACATCCTAACAACTCAAAGTTAGGCAAGACACTGAATTCCCTTTGAGTCAGCAAAAATTCAAAATAGTTAGAAAATATATAAATTAAAGATAATGTTTTCTGAAGATCTCCAACTCCTCACAGTCATAATTTATTATGACTTTTAATACAGGCACCAGATTTTTGGTTGAATTAAATGTCTTCCAGTAAATCCAATACATCTGTCGTGATTCTTCTGCTTGACCACTCAAATGAGGCAGAAGTTAAGCCCTGTGTGGCCATTCTGTCCTCCTGAGGGGACAGTTAGTGCCTTGTGGAATCCAAAACAGTTCCCATAGAGAAAGGCAGGTTAATACTTCTGTTGGCCTGTTTGGAAATTAAATATTTTGTATCAGTTAAAAATCCTGTCACTGCAGAATCTTAGATTTTTCTATTGTTGTGGGCAGAATGGGAATTTGCCATGGGCAGAATGGGAGCTTCAGACAAAGTTCATTAGAGAAGCCTTCCCTCTGAGTCATGGGGTGCAGAAGGGGCCCCTTTGCTTTCCAAACTCCTTCTCAGAGAGGAGTCCAGGCAGAGCATCCTCCTACAACTATTCCCCTGCAAATCACATTTGACAGAATGGAAATGAGATTAACACCAGTTTACCAAATTCAAGAAATCTGAGATTTTACTTCATATATACTTAGACCAAGGCTTCTTTTATAGGTAGTTACACCTGTGAATATTCAGTGTGACTCAGACCTGAACACCTCAAGTTTGGTGGTTAGAAGAGTAGGACCATACAATTAATGATCAGCTGAAAATGTAATTAGCATGATTTGCCTCATGTAGGAATCATACATACAGTTGCTGTATGGGCAATATGGAAAGCTTTATACAGGAACTCAGTGGCAGATGGAGGGATGAAGCACAATGCAGCATTGAGCTGTTTTAATCTCATTTCTGTAGGGCAGACTTGGGTCATACCAGTAGAAGATTTATGCATGTACCAACTGAGCACATTGGTGCTGAAGTCTGAGGTACACAGGTCCTTTATAAAGCCTGTTCAGAGCCACAGGCTTGGGAGAGTTTATGGTCAGGCAATATAGGGTTGTGAGGGGCTGTCTAAATCTAATCCTGCCACTGCCATCTGCCCTGGGTCCAGCATCTGAAGTGACCCCCAGAGATTATCCATGGATTTCAGCTGGAATAACTGAGCCACTTCCAAAAAGGTGGCAGTAACCTTTTATGTAATAATCCGATGGGAGTCACCTTTCCTTGCTCACCTAGATGGTACTGTTTGTGGAGTGAGTATTCCTCTAGGATTCTCTCACCCAGGCTTGTGCTGTTCATGCACTTTACATGATGCCTATGGCTGAGTCGTCTTGAGCACCACACTCAGAAGGTAAAAAGGAATCCAAAACTGTTTACATTTTACAAATTATAAGCATCAGAAAACAGGTTCATAATGGAAAGTGTAGTACAAAGTTAGCTAGAGATTACACTGTGAGTTTTCATGGGCAGAGGTGAATGGAGATTGAGCAGGCTGCAGCAAAATGTTCTTTGCTTAGCGTTCAGTTCCACCTAACCTCTCTTCAGAGCCATGAGTGCTGAACTTGTAGTTTAAGATCTGGATGAGAGAATTGTGTCTTTGAGGTATTACACTGTTTTGGGTGATGATATGGTGAAATTTTTATTGGTTCTTCTATAATTCTCATTTCTCTTTATTTTCCTCAACTGAAGTTCTGCTGACAGGTCTTTTTGACATTTTAGTACAATTTTGAAGAAAGATATTTTTATGGTACTTAAAATTTTCCAGAGCAGCAAAAGTTCTGTTTGTGATTTCTTGTTAGGAAGAGTTGTATGATGCAAATTGAAATTATGCAGGGTATGGCTGCAAAATATGTAATGTACAGAAAATAGAATTATTTAAGAGGAATATGATTGTATATAAATACACCTTTTTAGCAAGGTAAATTGCAAAACTTACAAGTATTAGAAAGTATATAGATATATGATGTGTATCTGTATATTTATGATACCAGATTAATAAGGACAATTTATTATCTTTGAAGTTATAGATAAATAATCTGTTAAAGAGGCTAATATCTGTGAAGAGGGTGTACTTTAAAGGAACTTTTAAAGGCTGTAAAGCAAGTAACTGTCAGGTATATTATAGCTATTAGTATATTTCTTGCCTTATTCTATGTGAAATAGGATTTGTATAAAATTGTAATGAAGCAAATGCAGACGTTTGAAAGTGCCAGACCTTCCATATAGGTTGTTCTGTTTCCAGGATCTCTAACAGTCCTAGGAGCCTCAAATGACCTTTGAAGTGCTGCGTAGTTATGGTGTCACTCATCTGGGCATCGGTGGCTTTGTCTTTGTCATTCAGATGGGACTCTCAGTTAATTAAAGAAATGAGGATTTTGAAGGATAGTAAAATCATCATTGATTCTGCCAACCCTTGTTTGGCCAGCTTACTTTGAAATGATTTGGACTAAAACATAGCTCCAAACCCTGTTATTCCACAGAAATATTGACGGCGTTCTCTAGTATAATTTTAACTTGCTTTACACTAGTGAAGCTCATGCAATTTATTTTTCTTATTATACTCATGAAGCTTATGCACGGTGATGTCCTTCCTGCGGGGGCAGACCTGCAGAGGCAGCGGCTCCCGCTGTCCCGCTCCTGCCGGGGATAGCTGGAAGGCTTGTGCCCTCTTGTGGTGCGCACATCCAGGGAAGCGGCAGGCAGCAAGCCTGGCATCCTGTCCGTGTCATCTGCTAGGACACAAACAACAGTGTATTGGGAAACAAAATTAACGAGGGCGCTAAAATCGTGAGCTTGTCTAGATAAAGACAAAAATACTCATTGTTTCATGCACAGAAGTAAGTCAGGTAATAATTAGCCCCATTAGCACCACAGTAAATTAATCAATACTAGCAGTAAATCTCTGTGACATAACATATCCAAGTTAAGTTTCAGAAGAGGCCATAAAAAATTATTTGATCCGGTGTTAGCATGCTAAGGCTGGAAATGTTTTTGAAAGTGGGTGAAAATTTCATTTAATGATTCTGTAGTTTAAAAGCTCAACTTTATCTGCATATTCATTAAAATGATAAGTTGTTAGCAGCGATCATGCTCCCAGGTTTTAAGTTGTGTATATACCTGTGCTGAGTTGGAATATAGCCAACCTTCAGTTTATCCTTTTATTGCAGTGCTTGAACAAAAGGTTTGTTCTAGGGAGGGCTCAGTAGCACAGGCAGTTAGCAGAGGAAAATTATACTCAAACAACCTTTAGCAGAGAAAAAAATATTCAAACAACCTCAGATGTGAGACTCAGGCACTGTTAAAAATACTCTTAATTCTCAGTAGTAGGTATGATAATGAAAGCAAAGATCCCTGTTAAAGAGAGGTTCTGGTTAAACATCACTTACTTTACTGTGCTTAAGTGTACTGAACTTCCAGCTTTTTTAAACTATAAAGAATGTCTTTTGAGCTATTTGAATTGGCAAACAGAAGCAGCAAGAGTAATTTCAGGCCCTGGAGAAAAAGAATAGGCAAAGGCTGTTTGGTGGTGGGAGGGGAAAGGGATGTAGCTTCTGGTCCTGTAAACAAAGGCAATTGCTCTGGTCTTCCCTTGTCCTTCCTCTTTTTCACAATGACGTATCAGAACAAGTCCAGTAACCTCCTCCTGACAGTAAACAGTAGGTTTTTAATATAATTTCCTTGGATAGTCATATTAAGTCCTTTTCTCCCTGCCTTATGTGTTCCTTTGAGGAGTGATTGCTTACAATGAATGGAAGACACCAACTGGCAGACCCTGTAGAAATGTGAATTTTGTGGGCAGTGCTTTTCTAAATACTTCCTGTACTTATGTGACCCTTCAGAGAACAGCAGTGGGAAAAATACTGGAAAAGCAGTGGAAGACCTGTAGGTCTTGTGGATGTTTGGTTGTGAATGATGTGGTAGCTTCCTTTTCTCAATTATGTAGGATGACTCCTGCACAGAGCTTATTACTGAAATGAGCGTTGGGTGGAACACCTGCTCCCAAATGTTTTTCACACTGTTGCTCTTCTTTTTCCCTTCTAGGTATGGAGAGTGCAATCACACTGTGGCAGTTCCTTTTGCAGTTGCTGCTAGACCAGAAACACGAGCATCTAATTTGTTGGACATCTAATGATGGAGAATTCAAGCTACTCAAGGCGGAAGAAGTGGCTAAGCTGTGGGGACTCAGAAAAAACAAAACTAATATGAATTATGACAAGCTGAGCCGGGCGCTCAGATACTATTATGACAAGGTAAATTTTGTTATTGTCATTCAGACTAAGGAAATAGAAATGCTACCAGTTAATATTTTTCCTGTCTGTGGAAGCTATTCAGAAGTTCCTCTAACTACTCAAGATATTAGAAGGAAAAGATTGTAGAACACAAATATACAAATATTGTAGAACTCAAATCTTGCATATTCACATTTCTCAATTTTAGACTTGAATTTTAGTAAATTCAAGGAGTTTCCAAACTGTTTCCACACCCTTTTTTGGGATGAATATTATATTATTTTTTCTAATTGATATTAAATCTTCTCAGGATTAGTTCTCCTTAAATGGATATTTTTCAATAAGATATATAAATTCCAAGTTCTTAGGTTTTACTATTCCCTATATTATTGAATATTAAATATTAATAAAATTATTATTAATAGTAAATAATGAATAAAAATTAATTTATCATTTAAAAATTAATAAATAGGTTTTGTATATTAAAAAGGAAAACTTCATAGCTGTGCTTAGTGGCTTGTTTTCATCTTGATTTTCAGAAAAGGGGGTGAGATGAGATTATACAGTGAGTAATGCCAGTGTTCAGCACCATTAGAGCATGTTTGCTGCCTGCACAAGGCAGAGGAAAGTAGACGCTCTTTCTGGACTGACCTTAGACTACTGCTGTAATGTATTATTCGTAGTGCACTAATTCTTGCAGGGCACAGTACTATGCAGTCAATCTAACACAGAGATCAAAAAACATGTTGACTGCAAATTAACAATGAACAATTGGATGATCAGACTTTCCATGACCCAAAGGGGCTCCTTCTCCTGAAAAAAAAATTTTAGTTTCAGATTTAGAGATGTTAGTGTTTTGTCCACTAGAAGTCAGATTTTTCCACTTAATATGTTTCAAAGGTGCCTAACTGAGAAGGAAGGAAAGGATTTGGTGAGGACAGTAGAGTGGCTGTTCAGAGCAGTTGGTGTGATGAATCCCCTTCAGTAAGTGCTAAAAAGGCTTCTGCTCAGCATGGGGAAGCTTGCTTCATTACATGACTCCAACCCCCCTGGTTATAAACTTGACTGGGATCAATGGAGACAGAGTGCCTGCTGGTGCATGAAGAGCATAGCCAGGCAGAGCCCAAATATGTTGTTAATGACTGAACAGACATTGCTTAAAAACAAGGAACAAGATATTTGTAGCACTTATGCTTTGAGATCTCTCTGATCTCTTTGAAGTAATGGAATATAATGGCTCCTTACCTGAGACTCTCTTGCTTCTTTTATCCCTTAATCTTTCTTTTTTTTAAATCTGTATTCTGTTTTCAGTTCCCTGCCCACAGCATGCACACACCTTTGTCATCTTTTTTGTCTCTGCTCAAGCAGCATCTGCCAGAGTGGCTGTAAATTTCTTCATCAGGGTTCTGGCTGAGGCAACTGCTTGCTGTTTGTAGAGATGGTCTTCTGTCACACAGTTTCATCTAAGTGTGGCACAAGGATTTTGGCCATTTTTCAGGTGTTCTGTGGTCCAATGGAGGCTATAGCTCCTAGATGGAAAGAAAGATAAGTTCTTTCTTCCCCATGTACTGCAATCAGGGTTTGAACCCCAACACAAACCTATGGTTATTTCTGTTTAAATTAAAAGAGTAACTTCTTTAGAAGGAAACAGTGGGAGCTTCTCACTCTGTGGGTATAGTGTTTTGTGACCTGTAGGTTCCCAGACAGTGGAGAAAGGTGGGTTACTGGGGGAGTGCTGAAGGATAGAGCAACTTGCTGCAGGTTTTGAAGTGTGAGAGATAGCTGATAGTGAATCCTTGTAGAGTGGCAGGGTGTGCTCAGTCCTAAATGCTTCCTCTGCCTTCAGTTCAGTCTATACTGCATAGCACAGAAGGGAAAAAGTCAAGAAAGGGAGGAAAGGCTCCCTGACATTCTTCCTTCCTCAATGCAGAACAAAAGGGGAAGGACTGAGGAGGTGAAAAAGCCTCTCAGACTTGAATGCTCTTTTCCTTTAGACCATTCACCAATTTGTGAGATGAACCTAAAAGCTGTCTAGACTCTGAGGGTAGCCTCAAGGAGCCTTCTGACATACTTATTCCCTCCCTGCTTGTGTGCATTGATGGATGTGTTGTCAGCTGGGAGTGCTGGGGCAAACGGGATGCACACTGAACAAATGTGACAGACACTGAGCTGCAGATGGGGGAGTGGCAGCAGGAAAGATGAGGCAGAACTCTGGACAAGACTTCACTTGCACTATGGAATTATTTACAGGAATTTGTCTTCCTATAACCTAAGTGATCTAGCAGCATATGAGTTTGAGACAAAGGTCAGTGACTGTTTTAGAAATTATGGTAGCACATGGGCTGGACCTTCTTTTCTTGGACTGCCCTCTGCTCCTACTACATACAGTTGACACTGAACTAATGTTTCATGGTCTATCTTTGAAATTATTCACCATGGAGAAATAAAACCTGATTGCTGGATAAATGGGGGTTTATGAGCTCTGCCTTTTGCTTGGGGGGAACACTGGCTTGTTAAAATTCATCATCTGATTCATCTGAACTTAAAAGTAAATTAATTCCAGTACTGGAGAAAAAATAACACAATTAGGACAAGTTCCTTAGCCTGGGTTTGAAAGCAAGCATGCTGTGGAGGCTGATGGCAAGATTTATGTTAAATTCACATAAAAAGCACCCCAGGAAACGTAGAGTATGGCATGTCCTGATTGTAATTTGTTGCCATGATTATAGTTGCTAAATGTTTGTAGATAATCTGAAGACTCCATTTCCTGTTTCATTTGTTCCCCAAATTCTTCCCCACTCCCCCCAACACCCACTCTTATTTTTATTTAATGCCTTTCCCCTATTGCCTCAACAGAGCAGCAGCACAGATAACAGATAGAACTGAGGAAAGGCATCCTGCGCTCTGCCTACAGCTTGTGTCTGCCATGTCACACACTTTTGCCAGTTGGAAATCTGTTGTAATGCTTTCAGGAGATGCTTCAGCACTATTCCCACACAGAGCACTTCAGCTTGAAGTAAAATACCTATAAAAGTAGAGTTAATAAGGTTACTCAGTTATTTTGCTTCTATGGTAGCTGTAATGGCACATATCTTTTTGAAGTCACCACGGGTTTCAAGGCTACTGAAAGTCCCTATGAATATTTCACGATGACACCACAAGAGAGAAGCTAGTGAGTTTCCCATTAGGTTTTTTATTGAGGGAAGGGGGGCAAATCCGGGAAATTACATGCTGATACTGACATTAACAGGATGTAGAAGTTGTGGAATTTAAGTCCTCAGAAGTTAGGAAATAAAAGAATCACAGTTCCCTGGATAACCCTAATGTTTGCATGAGTTATGCTGCATCTTTAATTACACAGTCACATAATGTTGTGATGAGCAGCTATTAATATTTTTGCATCTTCTCTGAACAGTACGTGGCCCGAGGCTTTACTCAGTGAGTGCTATTCATTTCAGTTCATGGCTGCCCACTTGTTTAGATGGTTTGGCAGTATGATTTATAGTATTAAAATAATATGGGCTGCTTTGTGCTTATTGCAGTGCAGGGACAGGGCTGCTCAGGTGCTCTCAGGATTCAGAGGTGCCAATGTATTCACTCCCCTCCCTGTAACCTGGTTACTAGTTTGTATTTTAATGTCCAAGTGTGGGTGGAAGCATGGAAGAATTGTTTTGGTTGAGGGTCCCTAACTTGGGTGCTTTCTGAACTACAGGATATAAATGAGGATAATGAAAAATATTATTTTATTTTTGGGAAGGTCTTCTCATAAGACATCTCAGGGGTATCAAATCCTAGAATGAAACAATAGCAGTGCAGTTGTGCTGGAGTACCAACTATACGTTATGTAGTAGTGCAGGTAAGAGGTATTACAAGGTAATACTTTAAGGGGCATTAGAAAGTACCTTTGTAAAACTGGAAGGAGCTTCATCCAGGAGTGATTTGAAGTCAAGAAAGTGCTTGGCTGAAATGGCATAAATGGTTATATAGTGCTATCCATATGGAAAGATGGGAGTAAGGGATTTGATACTCAGTAAGAGGTGATGGGTAGAGGAGAAAGCCCAAGAGCACCTGCCTCAAAGAGACACATAAAATAGTTCATGTTTGACGTGAGATGAAAGGGATGTCCAGTGACCTGCAGTAGAAAGAGCGGAGAACCTGGTCATAGGTGCTAGCCAGAGAAATAGCCTTTATCTTCCAGATGGAGGGCAGTGAAGAAAGACTGCACAGTGTAATAGTACCTGTGCCTGCATCAAAAATGTTACAAAATCTGGCTTCTACACACACAGTGTAAAAAGCATTACTGCATAATTTGTGATGCTAGCAGAATCTGCCTGCCTGCACATGCTGATGCAGACACATTCCCATTTTTCAGAGAAGATGATCCTGCCACAAGTACCTCCTGCCAGCATATGTACTTCAGACCCTGGAGTGTGAGCAGCCCTCTGGGTAGGGATCTCAATAGCTGGAAGCAGCCTGGATAGAGTTCTTGGAGGGATTAATAACCTGTGTTCCTACACGTATTGCATCCCTCAGTACTCTTAGAGCCAGGGAACTTGCAACACATCCAAGTGGGAATTAGGAGCAGTGGCTACAGCTCTGGTCTTTATTATTTTCTGTGAAGGGATATTTAGTACCTACAGAAAAGTTCATTCTGCTCTGTCATACATTTTGAGATCTTGGGCATCCTGATTATAGGTCACTTCCCGGAAAGAGGGAGAAATTGTCTTCCAGCTCCTGAGGTCCCTCATCAGTCTGAAGTTTGACTAGGAAGTGGGTCCCAAGTCCCAGCTCAGTCTCACAAGCGGCTCCTGCAGCCAGCAAACAGGTTTGGGCCTAGCTAACAGGTTTGGGCCAAGCCACTAAAATGCCTCAGTCACGCTGGTAGTATAGTTACACATTTGCTCTAAATGGCTCAAACACGGAGCAGGAATCAGAGCTGATAAAAATAAAACACAAACATGATGGATTTCAGTAGTGCACATGCATAGTTGACACAACCCCTCCCCGGTATAGTCTAGTTGAAGCTGCAGGGAGAACCAGTCCACCAAGCCTTTGGCATCCAGCTCAGCCAGCTGCTCTGCGGAGGACAGGGGCAGAGGAGATCTATCCCCGCAGCTGGTGATTCAGAGCTCTCAGGTGAGGCTGGTTTTGGAAGGGCTCACAGAGTGAGTTCCTGAAGTGCTGGGGTGTGAATAAGTCTGAGCTCACCAGCATGGACAATGTGCTGGAGCAGGCAGCCGGCACTGCAGCTTTCCAAGCACTTCTCAACAGGGTGGGTGCGCATGTTTGCTGTAGTCACTGTTTTGCACACTGGGGGCAGAGGAGGGGAAGTGTAAAGTGTTGTAGAAGCCAACAGAAGAGGGGCATTCCTTGCTGCCTGCCCTCTCTCTGAGTGTCAGAGAGTGCTGTCTATTGATAAGATGTTTTTTTTTTAGCTGTTGGACTGGAGCGCCTGCTCTTGTCCCTGTTGCCGATTTCTTCTCTGCAGAGCTGCATGGACCCAGCAGTCCTACCCTGGTTCCCTGCAGCCCTGGCCAGCAGCTAATAGCACTCATTGCAAGCCTGTTCATGAGGGAATTTACATAGAAAATTCAAACAACAACAATAAAATAGGGCTAAATGTTCACATACAATTACTGTCCTGCTACCAAGCAAGTCGTCTAGTCCTCCTGCAAATGCAGGAAGGCACAACTCTTTGCCCTTTCAAACTGCTTGTTGTGGTGCCTGTCACTGTCTTTTGTGGTTTGAACTGTCATAGTTCAGAATGATTGTGACAGATCACTGAGGTGATGGTAAAAATATGCTGCTTTTTACCTTCAATTATTTGTCAAGAAAAAGTCAGTGCCTTTCTGAGGCACTTCATTAATTTGCGTCCTTATTTTCTCTTGCATGCCGGTGGAGATTTCCTGAGGCTACACATTTAAGAGAAGCCTGTAAAGTGCTTGAGGGATCTGCACTTGAATCTTTTCATCTCCAGCCATTGTTAAGTGGGCCTTTGCTGCAGGCTGACAGAGTTGGAGGAGCAGCACTGCAATATTCTTAAAACATAACTGTATTTAATAATAACAAAGGAAGTATAAACTCACCAGTCCATCCAGTTGCTTTTTATAGCAATGTTCCCCCATTGCAAGTCTGCATCAGTGTAAAAGTGCAATCCTTAAATACATTTAATCTTGTTCTGCTGGGAGTCACATTTTCCAAGGAGAATCTCAGTTGCTAGTGCTTGATTTAACAATAATTCAAAGTTGCCAGGAGCAGAGGGGAGCCATTATTTTAAATATAAATACAAATACATATTGAAGGAAGAAAACAGAAATCCAGTTGGGATGGGTTTTTTTTTCATATGTGAGTACTTTGGAGATTTTGTTCTTTGGAAAGAGAATGCAATATTGAGAGTGCAGAAAAAGTGCAATCGTCCAATGTTGCACTGAAATAGCAGTGAAAAAAAAATCTAGGCCAAGCCCAAAGCCATGGAAATTAAAGCTCATGCAGATTGAGATTCTGTGGGCTAAATGTTTGTCCTGAACCTCTGGAGCAAAAAAAAGACACTGCAGCATCTGCCAGGTGGGTAGATGTGTGTACGGTTCAGCATGGAAGAGGGCAGTTTGTGCCTTTAGTCTGAACTTGAATTAAATTCTTCTCTTTGCTATAGATCCCTTATCAACTTGGGAAACAACATTCTCTATTTGTACCACAGCTCCTGACCTGTGATGCAAAGCTGCATCCCAGGGTTCTTTGTAGCATTAGTTTTGTATTCAAGAAGGTACCTGAATGAAATGGCAGGACATTCAGACAGATGAATTACAGAGTGCAGTAGCTCAGCTGAAAGACAAGATGTTCTGATACTCAAGTGCAGGTTCTTCTTTCACAAAATGATCCTCCTTGCTTTTGTGACTGAACAAGGTGTAGTGCAGGCAAGAGAAGCACCCAGAACTATGTGTTGTCTATATATAAAGAAAGATGATGTCTCTTTTCCTTAATTTTCTGTTTCATTTTCAGTCAGCTTAACAAATGTTTCCACTATTGGTGTCAGAAGCTGTGGTAGAATGATAAACCAATTAGATTTTAGGAAATCTGTAAATATTTACATTCCCATATGTACAGCGAAGCAGATGTCTGCAGAATACCAGCTGGAGGTGCAGCAGATGTGCTGGACTAAAGGGAAGCCTCTTGGAAGGGGATTTTCAGAGGTGACTTAACAAACTCTCCACCAGGTGTTTCAAGAAGAGGGAAATTAGCATGGAAATCTTGGGACATATTTATTCTTTTGTTCTGCAGCACTTGGCTTAGGGTGGTAAATGTTCCAGTCCCTAAGCAAGGCCTGTGCCATAATGTACCTTTGTGGAAGAGCTCACATATCCTTGGGAATTGTGTTAGAGCAGGCAGCCAACCTGGGTTTGCAGGAGGAGCACTAGGAGTAGAAACATAAAAAGTCTCAAAAGGAATCAGTTCTTTACATAAAGGGGACATCTCAAGAAAAAAATAAACGGTTCTACAAACCTTTGAGAAGTATGAGGCTTTTTCAATAATTAATTTCCATAGTCAGTTTAGACTGGTGAAAACCTTCTGCCTGTACCAGTGAGCATCCTGAGTCTAATGCAGACCTGGAGATGGTGCAGGGGATATTGCAGGACACAAGTACTTTTCCAGCCCATGCAAGGGGTTGTGTTTTTTACAGACATAAGTTCATGATTATTGACAGAAAGACAGTCATTGTAAGTTTAGCTTAATCTTTCCCTTATGTGGTAAGGAACAGAGGGTAAATAATTTTGGCCAGGAGGCTGAGTTGGTTTTGTCCCTTGCAGACATTTTGAGAGTAGTTCATCCTCAGGTGTTTGTGTCAGTTTTAGGAGGCATGAATGAAGGAATTAGCATTTATTGTGGAACGCAAGTGGTGGCATGGCTCGAATGCACAAGGCAGCACAACTGCTTTTACTGGAAAGAAAATATTCCCAAGCTGCTTCAGAGGAAGCAGAAGTCAAAGCAGCAGGCCACCATGAGGTCTTTGTCACCAAGTGATGCTGGTTTTGTTGGAAACCATGAGGAGCCAGGAGTGGACTCCCTGGCTGAGCAGAGAGGTATTGGAATAAGCCAAGGGTGATCAACATTTGGAGCCCCACAAAATGACCTGCACAGCTTTATGAGGGAGCAGTGCCTCCTGCCCTTGTGTGTGCAGTACTGGCTGCCTCTGAAATGCTGATCTTTCTAGCACTTTCTTTGTATTTGCAGAACATCATCAAGAAAGTGATTGGACAAAAATTTGTATACAAGTTTGTCTCCTTTCCTGAGATTTTAAAAATGGATCCACATGCTGTGGAAATCAGCAGAGAGAGACTTTTGCTGCAGGACAGCGACTTTAAGATGCCTTCGGAGAGCAGGGATCAGCACAAGCACAGCTTGTCAGCACTGAAAAGCACAAGCCGTAATGAATATATCCACTCTGGCCTGTACTCCTCTTTCACTATCAACTCTCTGCAAAACCAGCCAGACCCATACAAGACCATCAAAACAGAAAAACTGGAGAAGTCAGAAGGAAACACACCAGTTGAAGAAGTCCGGACTGTTATCAGATTTGTGACAAACAAAACAGACAAACAAGTTACGAGGCCCATGGTGTCGTTGCCTTCTACTTCTGAAACAGCAGCTGCCTCTGCTTTCCTCAACTCTTCAGTATCAACTAAAATATCTTCCTTAATGCTACCCAACAGTGTAAGCATTTCATCTCCATCATCATCCTCCTCCAGGTCACCATCTCTGTCTCCCACCTCCCCCCTCCCTACAGAACACAAGAGCTTCTTCCTCGACTCCAGTTGCCACGACTCAGATTCCCTTGAGCCTCTGAACCTCTCTTCAGGCTCCAAGACCAAATCCCCATCTCTTCCCCCAAAGGCTAAAAAACCCAAAGGCTTGGAAATCTCTGCCCCACCTATGATTCTCTCCAGCACTGACATCGGTTCCATCGCCCTCAACAGCCCTGCACTTCCTTCGGGATCCCTGACTCCAGCTTTCTTCACTGCCCAGGTAAGACCTGCCTTTCTCCAGGCATTCCCTCCATGTGGCCAAGAGCATTAGTTCTGTGGGTCTGTCACCATGTGATGGGAAAAAAAAACCCAACATACAGGTTGGAAAGTAGGTTTCTCCTGGGGTTTGTTCCTAATTGAGTATGCCTGAAAGAATAAGGAGATGGGCAGCCATTAGTGAATTGTTTATCAGTTCAAACCAGCCTCCAGATCTACAAAACAAACAGGAAAAAGACAAGAAAACCACAGGGGTTTTGTAGGTCACAACTTGAGCATGTGGGATGCTTGGTTAGATTTCTCTACTAGATGTTACATCCATTCAAACAGTGTGACCTTTTTGTTAATTTCTGAATACAGATTCAAATTAACTGGTTTCTAAGACAGGCTCTAAAGTCAGTTTAAATTTCTGAAGTTGTACAAATTCACAGAGTAGTTGCCAGCGCTTCCCTTCAGCAGAGAACTATGGAATAACTAGAAGGTTATTTTGTTCTTTTTAATAATGTATTTGTGGTAATATCAACAGTAAGTTCTCATTTTCAAGCTAGTCTATGAAAAAAAGCCTAGGAGTTCAGAGCAGAAGAGGAAAATCATATAGATATGATTGGTGAGTTTTGTCTTACAATAGCACCTCAAAATTACACCAAAGAGAATTCAAAGAATAAAATTATCCCAATGTGGAATACCCCCCACGATCCCCAGCCCTGAAGTAGCAGCTGATGCAAATACTAGCATTGAATGTAGCAAATTGGACAGTAAATAAATAAGGACAAAGCTGTGTTATAAGCCCTCCCTCACTTCATATTGCCTAGAAGACCCATGGTACCCAGAATCCTATCACTTCTTCCCTGTTTGAAAGTGTTGGAGGTGTTTGATGTGGGCAGCATTGAGTGCCTGCACAGCACAAGGGCCTGGCAGAAGTGAGTGTTGGCAAGTGCTCTCATCCAGCACAGCACTTGCTCTCAGCTGGCTGCAGAGCGAGTTTGTGCAGCTCAGGCACACCTGTAAGCCACCAAGATATGAAGTTGTGTCACCAAGAAGAGCAGTTTGTGGGTTGACACCTGTCATTTTTGACATCATAAAGCCTTTAAGTGAATTTATATTTGGCAGGAAGAACAGAAGTGTGGCAAACCAAAACTGAGATGCATTGACAAACTTACAACCTCTAACTGTGGTATAACCACAGTATTTTTTTTTTGTAGGGAGCAAATCTGACAACATCAGATGCCAACCAGACACAATGACAGTGTGAGTTATTTCAAACCCACTTTAATCTGCCGCCGCCCCCAAACCACAGGATGAACAAAGATTTGTTTCCTGGTTTTGTAATTATTTCTTTAAATATTTAACTTTCCCATGCACCTATGAACTGGTGTACTTACTGCCCTGAAAGGGAATTATATTGAGGTTTGTGGCACTGCTTTAGCAGGAGGGATACCCAAGGGTGTGATGACTGTTACCCAACTTAAAGCTATCACAAATCTTTTTTACAGGTTGTCCTATCACAGAAGAGGCATATGGCATCTTTATGGGGTAGTTCCTGGGTCTAATTATTTAAACTTTTGGCTATACAGCAACATAGCTTTTATCCTCTCCTTTAGCCTTCTTTTTCTGTTGTTGATAAGAAGCACCCTGCATCCCAAACACTCATCCTAGCGAATACTGAATGAAAACTACATAGCAGCTGTATTTAGATAACTGTAATATCACAATTCAGAATAACTAAAGCCATAATTTAGACAGGAAATCTGCTGTTCATCCCATTATCCAAGGAACATGCATCATATCTCAAACATTCTCTGATTTATCAGATCCCAGTATGAAACACCTGCTGCCAGGGGTAGGTGCAGAACAGGATGTCTGCTCCAGGAGTGATGTATGTTCTGAGACAGTCCTGCTGCCTGCGAGGGTATTTCAAATGGCTTTCCACTGTACCTGCTGGTCATGAGGAACACCCTCAGGTGGAGTGCTGTGAAAGAGCACATGATACACACGATCAATATTAGAACAGAAATGAATGTGTGACAGCACTTGTGTGCTTTCTAACAGCTGGAAGTGACAAGATTATACTTACACACATTGTCACAGAAGTCAGGAGCCATGAGCATCATTGCTTAACATAATCCTCTCTGTGCAATGAATTATTTCTATTTAAACTGTTCCTGTGCTTACATTACAATGACGTTTCACAAGTAGGAACTTCCCAATGGGTTCCACATCTAATACCAGATGCATGGCTACATGTGGGCAGAAAATTAAGTGACACATCAATTTCTGTATGTAATTTAGGGATAGGCTGTCCTGTGGTGTTGTTTACACTTAGATTTCCTCTGGTGGTTTTGATACTTGGCTGATGGCAATACTGAGAACAAGCCTGGGAGGCTCTGTGCCCTTTTTGCATTAAATATTAAACAGATTTGGAGGCTTCATTTGGCTGGCTCTTGGTTCTGTCAGAACTTGCAGACATTAGTGCTCTGCTCATCAAAGGATATGAGCTTTTGCTTAGCACTGTTTTAGGCATGTTAGTGTGCTTCCAGAAATAAATGGAGGGCAACTCAGTTTTTCAGATCTCTCTGAAGACTTGCTTTGGCTGCATCTAGGTAGGAATAAACATCTCCAAGTCTTCCTCATTATTTTCAGAAAGCTCCCTCAAGAACTGCCCTTTGAATTCTGGATATCTGCAGCTTCTTAAAGAAAAAATAAAGAATGGAGGCTAAGCACAGGAGTTCTTGGTATAGTTGCCACAGCACTGTGTCCTTAGTTTAATGCTGTTTGGTCTAGCTACTTACATCTTTGGTTTTAAGGTTAGTAGGCTCTTCTGTAAGTAGATCTGAGTATTTATCCTGACCTAATTCAGTATGTTGTCTGTCTCATAAATCTCCACCGGTAGTGCCTGCTAATGGAGCAACAGCTTGAAATGCAGCAAGGAAAGGGACTCTTGCTGGTGGTGCTGATTTCCTTCCCTGTGAAAGCACTATGCTCCTTGGAAGAGAGTGTTTGCAAAGGACTCTTGACAAGTGCATACTTGTCAAGTGGTGGTGTTTTTGTTTGTTTTTTTTTTTTGACAAGAGCTGTCACTTGATGAGATCAATACTGATGTCTTTTCTTTGCCAGGCCTCCACCCACTCTTTGCTCCTTCTGTTGGCATGCAGATATATCCCAACCATGACTGGTACTCCTATGACCTGCTGATTTACTGAGTCAATGTTTTGCTTTCCCAGTGATAGCACAGGTTTATTACTCCTTGGGACAAACACAGTTTCTTCCATGGGGTTTGGTGTTTCTGATCTACCTTCTTTAGCACAGTGAAGGTGACAGGGTCCTTTCCCTGCACATTTCTCCAGGAACCTCACTTCATCTGAGATTCCTTAGCAAAACCATTCAAGAGCAGCCAAGGTCTTTGTATTAAACAGCCTTTCTGAATCTCCAGGATAACTTTCATGTTTGCTGCTCCTTGTCTTTCCCATCTCTTCTGCTGGTGCCAAGCTAACTGTTTGACCCTGTTGTGAACTGCAGTGCAAGCACGTCACAGCAGGTCTGTGTTCCCCTGTGCCCGCACAGAGCCCCAAACACCGCAGCCGATGCCTCGGGCACTGCTTGGAAGATGAATCTGACACTCAAAATGCACGTCAGCAGTGGCAGTACCTGTGTGAGCCTGCTGTCTGCAGGGTCTGGCAGAGAGCAGGTGTGATGGGCCCTGGTGTCAGCAGCTGCTAAGGGCTGCAATTGCCCTATGTGGAAGTTTGTATTTCTGGCCTGGTGGTTTCTGGAAGTTTGTATTTCATGACCAGAATACATGACCTGCTGGTTACTACAGGGAGATGCAGGTACCCTCTATCTTCTGTCTTCTCTTTACGTATTTTAAACTCTGGACAAAAGGATGCCTGAGTTCAGCACAGCACTGAGACAGTTGTTTGACACAGCAAAGCACGTGCTTGCTTGCTAACTGTGTACATTCCATTAAGGAATAGGACTGATTTTGATAATTGGCATCAAGATTACTGGTGAGATTAACTCATTATGCCAAACACTTTTTTCAAAAGTGTCACGTTATTTTTCAGCATGATAAAGGTTATTCTGGATAGAGAATAATTCACACAATTCTTCATTTGAATGAAGATTTGCATGTGCTCTAACTCTACCTCCCCTCCAACTGTGGTTTAATAATGCTGAGGGCAATCACAGCAACTCTTGTGCATCATGGCACTGGAAAGAGGCACCTCTGAGTTGGGAAAAGCCTTGGATTCTAAGTTCTTGCCATTTTGGTTTTTTTTTTCAAACAATTAGCTGTGCTCTCTGCTGTGCCCCTGTGCACTAAGCCCATACACCTGTCTCTCCCTGCTCAGCACATTGTATTGCCAGCTCCTTGAACCCTCTTCCATTACTAAGAGGTGCCATCAGGGGAGTACATGTCAAAGGTCAGCAGTGACTCTTTTGTCACACAATTGTAGTAATGCTTCAAAAGCTGCAGTTGGGTCAAGGAATTGCTGCCCTTCAAAAGGTAAAAACTGATTCTGAAGGAGACTAGGTGATGTTGGCAGGCACTGGGGCACACATGGTATTATTCTGTATGTTACACAGTCGCATGAGTGTGGTTCAAATTAACAATAACTGTGCATCTCATTAAGCAAACAGAAATTAAATCAATTTGCATATGAAGGAATATGAAATGTGCAGGTATCCAGAGACAGGATGCAGGGCTGGATGGGCAGCTGTTGCTGACCATGCTGTATATCTGAATTCACTGGAAAACAGAGCCAGTAGATGCTGTGTAAGGCTTTAGGGGGGGTGAGTGCTGCATGGAGCAGTGCTGAGTGTGCATCATGTGTTTTTGTCTTGTAGACCCCCAATGGATTACTGCTAACCCCCAGCCCGCTGCTGTCCAGCATTCACTTCTGGAGCAGCCTCAGTCCTGTTGCTCCTCTGAGTCCTGCCAGGCTGCAGGGACCAAACACTCTGTTCCAGGTAGGTCTTCCCAATGCACAGGTTTAATTGCTAAATGCACACATGGAAGAGACATTGTGGGAACATCTCTTCATATCAGTCTGGAGCTTTTCAAACAGATCAAGAAAATACAGGCATTAACAGGCACTTTTAAAGAGAGGCCTACTTACGTGTACCCTCTTCCAATCCTTGGCAGCACAGTCAGAACCTACTGTGTCTACCAGTGTCTGCTGCAGAAAGAACACATATATTGTGTGAAGGAAAGAAATAAATGCTGGACTCCAAAGAGAGCAGGTAACAGAGCTCTCAGAGCTGCAGGAAGAGAGTGCAGACCACTCAGTGACCTGCAGGAGAGGGCTGGAACACAGACTCTGGGAAAACCAAGACAGTTTGGGTCTCACCCAGTGAGGTGGGTATAGGTTTATCCTTTTGTCCTAATGAGCTACTTCTCACTCAGAAAGACAAGGCTCTCTGAACCCAAAGGCTCCATTTCCAGTTCTCCTGCAATTATCCATGTGTCCTCAACCAAGGACACACCTCTGAGCATGACCTTGTCATATATAACAGCAGAAAGGCAGCATTGTGCCAACTCTCTCCTGAATATTGGCAGAGTAAAATTCTCAAAGTTTTACAGAGGTGTGGTAAATACAAAAGTTATTAAATAACCCACAATGACCACAGCACTCAGCTGCAGCATTTGCCTGAGAATATAGTGGGCATGGTATTTGCAGCTCCAGCTGTAGCTGCTGAAGAACAGCTGATTCATTAAGTCACATAAGAAATTATGTTGATCTGCTGATTGGCAAGGAACCCAATGGCCATTTGCACAGCTGAAGGTGCGAGGACATCCCTGGAATGAACACCCTGATGGCTATGGAGGGCCAGCACTAACAGAGGAGAGGGACCCTGTGTTAGTCTCTGAACCTTCAGGAAGGCTGACTGCCGAGATCCAGGGCTGGGCTTCAGCTCAAGTAGTTGCTCAGTACTAGGATAGTCAGTCTTTCTATATCCAGCTGTACACGGAGCTCATGACTCCTTATTTGTGTTTCAGATAAACTCATTAATCCCTACTGGATCTTAGTTTTGCACACATGGTTAGAAACAGCCAGATATTTCACCTGAGAAGTGCCTGTGCTGAGACCTGGATTGAGCTTGTACAAACACATGTTGGCCATTCCCTGGGGGAACTGAAAGTGAGGAGTGGCCTTGGCTTTCCCTGCTGAGAGACCCAAAGCAAAGGCCATGATGACAAGTTGTAGAGCAAAAAGCCTTATTTTAACAGCAAATAAGAAATGAAAACCACAGCTGAAGTCTGGCCAAGCCCACCTAGAACTGATGGGTCAGCCAGGGTAGGCATCAGGGTAAAGCTCTCCTCAGGCTGCCTGCACAGGCCAGCCCACACTCCATGCATACTCAGGGAAGAGCTTGTAATCAGGTCCTGCATTTTAATGAATCTTGGCAGAAGTGATGGAAGCATTTCCTGAGGTTTGGTGTGGTTAAAGCAGAGGCATCAGCCAGTTTTGGCCACATCAGGAGCATGGTGCCCTGCAGCACCATGCTGCTCGGCCCAGCTTTACGCAAGTGGTGGAAAACAGGTATCACCATCTGAGTGGAAGAGGAAACTTGTTACAAGCACGTTATTATATGCATGTGGAGGGTGTGGTTACACCACAGTTGTCTGTCCAAAGACTGATCTAATAAGGGGTAAAAATATACTAGATGCTTGAAGCTGTTCACAGCTCTGTCTCCCTCAAGCCAACAGAAATCCAGCACAGCCCATGGAGCTGGGCCTTGAGGCCAGATCAGTATCTACCACTGGGATAATTCCAGCCTCATGCTGCAGCAAGTTTATTCCACCTACTTGCTTTACTTTTTCTCAGGTCACATGTTAAGAATTAGTCAATACCCACCCTGCAGGCAAGGTGCAGTCACAATGCCGCCATGAACTAGGAATCTACAGCTTCTGTATTGGATACGTTTTTTGCACAGCACTTCTGAAGCAGCAGGTGACAATCAATGACTATACGTTCTGCTTCGCATGCTGAATGGTGTAGCTAGTTTGTCGTTTCTGAGTGAATACAGAAACTGTAATTACTTGAGAGTAATTTTCCCCAAACTTCGTGTCTCCAGTTGTACTTTTTCTGCCCTAAAACTACATCTAAACTTTCACTTTTGCCAAATTCTTTCAAAAAAAAAAAAAAAAAAAAAAAAGACAGAAAGGATGTCTTATAATTAGCAATGTGTAGACTGAAAAAATATTTTTGGAAACAGAATGGATGGCAGAGATTGCTCTGTAGTGTTCACTTTTTCAGGGTGATGATAAATGTATTATGTGAAGTTTTATATAAAAAATAGCCAGTAACATATTTTTATATCCTCATGCATTACAAATGATTCAGGTTTTGTCCTCTATCTTGTATTCCTAATGGCTGAGGCAGGCGATTGGTAGATGTCTTGCTGTATAAACATCACACCTCTTGAAACCATCTGGAGCCAGTTGCTAATGCTAAATCCATGTGCTTCTTGGGCTGGGTGTTTTGAGATGAACAGTAATTTCTACCTTTTGGCCTCTTACAGTTTCCAACTCTGCTAAATGGTCACATACCAGTGCCACTCCCCAGTCTGGACAGAGCCTCTTCACCAATACTGCTTTCTCCAAACGCTCAGAAATCCTGATGATGCCTCATCACACCAAGGATGTATTGGTGGATTTAACACTTCATTCCTATGGGCTAGTTTTTCCTGTGTCATGAGAAGGACATTGTGAAACCCTTTATTACTTTGGTTTGCACTTTTCATTACATGGATCATCTACTTTTATTATGTTAGCATTTTTCAACAGTGTTTATATATAAAAGTATATATAAATCTGTTATGCATTAAATGAATTATAATTTTTTTATATCATAGCTCTCAAGTGTTGAACACTTCTGTTGTGGATGAAGTACTTTTCTTAATGGATTGCAACAATGTATCTATTAGGGATGTGAAGCTTCTTTTTAATCCCTTTTTCTGCATATTATGCATTGCGCTTGTGTAAACTATAACCGGCTGTGCCTTCTTTTGCATAAAGTCATGTAAATGATTTATATATTTTCTAGTATTAAGATAAAATTTGGAAGAAAGAAACTAGTATTGAACAGCCCTATGGTAGTATTTCAGTATTTTCTCCACAGATGGGCCATACAATGCAGTGTATTAATGTACCTTTGTATTAAGTGCTTTCAAATTGTATAAAAATAGCCTTATAATTTTCCTTTGCTGAAGTGGAAAATATAATCCTTGCTACAGCCAGGAGGAGATGTAGTTCAGAGTAACAAAGCCACATTTATATATTTATGCCCAAGTTCTTCTGTCAAATTGCAACAAGGAGGAACTGGGCTATGTATGTTCACGAGAGGTTTCCAACCTTTAAGAGTACTTCTGTAGAAAAGGAGACATTGCTCAGAATTTATGTGGCCTATATTTCTTATGGACTGTCAACAGTACGTCTGGAAAGAGTGCAGGTAATCTTTGTCCTCCCAAAGAATGAGGATAATTCCTGATAATTTTCAGGTGCTTTGTTCAGCTGTGCCAAGTGCCTTCTACTACTTCCCTGGAAAGACTATTGTAGTTACTCAAGCTCTGGAGGTCACATTTCCCCTTCCCCCAAAGCTGGAAAAGTTACAGGTCCGTAAACTGATGCCTGGTGCTTGCAAAGAGGCAGAGACTCTACATGTGGGATATTTATGTATCAACAGCTGAATTCTGGATGAAAAAAAACAGCACTGTGCTATTATATACTTGCAACTTGAATTTACTGGGTATGTCCTCTACCTTGAGGGGATGGTTTAGTCATCTAAATGTCAGGTTAGGATTAAGCCAGACTCCCTGGCACCACAGACTCTTAATCCTGGCAGGGTTGATGCAAATTTTCAGTTTCCTGATGTGGCTAAATTGGCTTGAATGCAGCTTTACTGTGTCGGTTTTTCAGATGAGACCTTAAAAGCCAACCCCAAATCCAATCCCTGTTTTGTGACAGGTCATTCAAACTTCAACTTTGCTTTCTGGCTGAGCAGCTGGCCATGGTCTATTCTTTTTGAAATGTATGCAGTGAGTTGTCTGCTGATTTTCTGCTTGGATGCATTTCAGTGATGATGTGTGTAGTTATGTGTAAAGTGCTTTTGGATCCTTCAACCTGAAAGGTGCTAAATAAACATTTTATTAATGCAGTTCTCATGTTGAAAAGCCATTTTTGGGGCAGAGGTAGTTGACAAAAGACAGCAGGAATTTTCCTCAGGCTCCTGTGTTGCACAACCAAAAACTATTTGACAGTTCCACCTGCAGTGATAAAAACCTGCTGTAGCCATGTAGATACCAGCTGATAAAGACAGCAATTGAATGCCAAACTCGAGGAGAACAAATGAAGCACTTGGGATGTCATTTGCTCGACTCAGCGTTTCAAGAGCTCAAGATGTGCCACCCCACTGAGTCAAAAAGAGAAGATGAACCTACACAAAATTTATGAGTGAATGCAAATTTTATACCAAGTAAAATCAGAATAGATTGGAAGAAAGGGCAGCATGTAACTGATGTGATTGACAAGGTTAGTGGAGATAAATCAAAAGGGCTTGCAGACTGGACATTTATCTTCCAATGCACTCCTCCCAGGTACATGGAATATTTTTCAACAAGTTACAGACAGGCAATTATTTCACATAGGGAGCTGACTTTGCCTCATTTTTAAAAACCCACGAATATCTACTTACACCTGTAAGGCATGAACAGCAGCATAGAGACTTGTCTTGTATGTGCCACTGTAGCTAACAGGAGAACCCAACATCTAGACAGTATTTCTCACTATGAGTATAAAAAGATGAAAACATACTAGTATGGAATATTACACTGCAAAAAACCAGATGACCATGAGAGGAGGGAGCGTGTGACAGAGAAGAGATTCTTAGAAGTACCCAGATTCCCGTTATTTTATTTCTTCCAAAGTTTTACTATTAATAAGGCGGATTTTTTTTCTTCTCAAAAGGCTCAACACATCATAGCTTCCCTCCCACCCTCCAGCCCTTAAATGATTTTGGATTTTTTTTAAAGATAGCAGAAAAATTTTGGGACAAATTTCTATTTCAAAAAATTATTGGAAAGGATCTGAGAAAATCCAATACAACAATGCAAGACAGAAAATGGGAAGAAGTGCTGTCTTCTCATCTTTGAGAGAATAAAAATAGCAAGAGAACACATCTTCTGTAAGTTGTCTTTTCAGCTGAAATAAATAGGCTGTTAAAATCTGCCTTCTAAATCAGTCAATAATGTGGAATAAAAATTTTTGCTATTGGGAAGTACTTATACAAATAGAGTCCAGCCTCTCAAGTCTAAAACTTATATGAAACACTTGACTGTTATGCCTTGTGCTTTGAAGAAAATATTCTATTGGTAATCTACTGAATTTTATTAACAGTTACCTTTTTAACTGTAGAGGAAAATCAAATAAATGTTTTTAAATAAATACTGTGGAAGTGTCAATATTTCTGGCAGGGAGAGCTCCAGGCCAACAATCCTGGGGAACAAAATGGGAATTATTCTCTTTTCAGTATTCTTGGTAGTAATTGCAATTTGATGATACTTGGGGGATTTATTACAAGATTTGCACTTTATTCGTGCTTCAGCAATATAAGAAGTTCCCAGTTACTATACAGGCTGGGTGCACAATTAGGGTATGTTTGGCTTACCTGCACCTTTGTTTCTTCAGGAAAGCAAGTATCCTCCAGAAGGGCCACAGCTGCAGGGCAGCTTTGCCAAGAGCTTGTGCACACCTATGGCCCTGGCACAGGTAAGCCGCTTCAGTTCTAAAGAAAACTTCCAGTGTGGGGATAACAGTGATAGGTGATAAACTATAGCAAAAGACCTGACACACATCCATGATGTAAAGAAAGAACAATTTGTTTTGTCTAAAACTGGCCTCATCAGACAGGCTCATTACCCATCTGGAAATACCTATCAAAGAAGTGAAGAACTGTCAATAAGGTTTCTGTTTAAAGGGAAGGCGGTCCTTTCCAACGAGACCACAGAGTTAATTTTAACAGAACAACCCTCTGCATTAAAAGGTTGTGTGATCTCGTGCTGATGGGAAACATCTTCAGAAGCCATCATGACATGCAAATTAATTTAGAAAAGGCACAGTAAGTACAGGTAGTCTTTTATGTAGGGGCATTTCTATTCCCTTCCGATCTTAAGACTGACTGTATATCCTGTAGGATAAAGAAACAGAGGCCTCAGATTTAAGCATAACCATCCAAAGTTCTCAGAAAACTACAACTTTTAAAATCTGTTTTAGCCCCAAACTGTAAGTGCTCTTACCAATTAATGTGTGAGTGCTCTGCACAGATGGAGTACAAACCTATTCCTTGAGGGCAAAGAGGCTGACAGCATGAGTGAGAAGCAGTATGAATTTATTTAAATGAAAAAAGCAGAATGATCCTCAAGCAAGGATTCTGGAGCAATCACCATCTTGGTCTGCCTTGGACAGAGGCTGGTATTTGAAGAAAGCATCCTTGGAGAGAGGATTCTAGGATGTGCTGGAGTTCTTTTGTGAAAGACTCCCATCAGTTCACATTCACTCTGCAAGAAGTACATATGTATAAATGTAAACTTAATTGTTCCTAACACGGCTTCAGGCCAGCTACCCCCTTCCTGCAAATCAAATAACAAGAAAGAAAGAAAGGGAAAAACAGTCTGAAAAACAAGCTCAGTGTGTGAAAGAGGAGGGGCAGGTGACAGTGCAGACACTACCATGCAAGGCCTGGAGGGAGGTGCTCTACAGGAGCATGTTGGAGAAGAGACAGGGAAGAGCAGTTTCCCTGGTTAGCAATCCATAGCCATGGTAATTCCATCAGCAGAAAGATTCCACTGCAACAAATGAAGGAACTTCACAGCTCTCTGGGGAAAAATGTATTTCAAGGCAGGGTGTCTGAGCCAAGTAAGACTCATATTTCATTAGGAGGACCGTGAAAGTGATGCACTCAGGCAGGCCTGCTCCTTGAGTGAGCTTGAAGGATGCAGCCAGCACAATAAATTAAGCAGTTCGTTACCACAGTAGCACGTGTGTATGTGTGCATTCACAGTTTAAGTTTGCTCTGAAGTTACAGAACTTAGAGTTAAGGGATTTTAGAAAACATGCAAAAATAATGAGAAATTGTTCAGGTTTTCTGCTGCCATCAATTTTACTCAGAGAGGGACTGACCAGTGAAAGTCACTTACAAGAGATTAAAAAACCAATCTAGAATATATGAACTGTAATCCCAGTTCTGAAAACAGGATCCCACTATGGCTGAGAATGGGACTATGATTTTTGTGCAGCTGAACTCCACAGATGAAAAGTACATGGTAGAAAGTCCACAGCCCATGTACCTGCTTGGCTTTTATACTTTCCACGATCATCCCACCTGTGCAGTCAGAGCTGACCTACGATGTTCCAACTGCTACGTACTTCCCTTATGTTTCATAATTGTATTTGTTATCTTGCCAGTCTCCCAAATTGGTACTGGATACTGTTGACATACACGATGTACACAAAGGCCAAATAACAGCATTAAATCTTTAACAGACCAATCTCTGAAAATAGAAAAACCCCTGAACTGCATAAAGTAAGCATTCAAGTTCCTTCCCAAAATTAAGGCATTTCATAGAGATGTTACATTTGTTTTAAAGCCAACATCTCTGAAATGTGCTAACAAGGTGCATGAATTACTTCAACTCTGCTCATCAGACAAAATGATCATGTCACAGACAAGGTAAATTCTGATTTCTCTACAGTGTCATCATGTGTTGTAGCTCTGTATTTCCATACCCTGATTTGTTTGGATTTCTTTAAAGTCTGACCTTAATTCTGAGTATTTCCTGGGTTTATGATACTTAGCCTGTGGATATTTACAACATACCTTTCATATATTTTGTCCTCAATAACAGAATGCATTTTTAATCTTAATTCCAGTTTAACATTGCAGAACAGAAACAATGAACCTTTATTATACTGAAAAACTCATGCACAAATAACAAGCAAGCAGCCCAAAGAAAGCTACCTTGCAGGTTTTTAAATGATTTGCAACTACAAAGTATGTTGATTCTTTAATAATTGTTTATTTTAACTTTTATTGCCCAGTTCAGGGATACACTCTGGCTACTTAATGCTGTGGTAAAGCAGCACAAAAATAACACAGCCATGTTGAGAAGCATGTTCCACTAGAGCATTGCTGAGCTGTTGGTTTGCCCCTTCCATCTCCCACCCTGTCCTGTCAATTCTCATCTTCCACCCACCCTTTTTCCCCTTCAACCTTACACCTGCATGTGAATGCAACCACATCACCAGCACCTGCGTCTGTCCTGGCTTCCAGCCCACCTGACTCTGACACAGACCTACACCCACACCTTGCCAGCCCTACCCTGGGCTAGGTGGGACACACCAGTTATCTCCTAAAGATAACTACCTAAAATCAGCCACGACATGCAGGCCATTCCTCATTAACTGATCACTCATCGACAAGCAAAGGTGGTGACACCAAACACTGAAAGTCATCCATTTTTAGCGACACTCTGCTTGGTTTTTGACATCCTGAGGTCTTCTCCCAAAAAGGCCAACACTTCTGCAGTTTTTGGGGACAGTGAAACCAAGTCTGTAGTACCTGACTTTGCCAGACGGGAGGCAGAGCACAGAATTCCATAGAAAGAATGTCAGAGATGCCCAGCAACTTCAGACTTGCTGACTACTGCCCCAAACAGACAACTGCCACAGAACTGTCTCTGCTGATGCAGGAACTTCAGTAACAGACAATTTTAAAAAGCCCCAAACTGGCTTGACAACAGATGCCAAGATTCTTAAACATGTTCTTAGCTACCTCCTAATGAAGAACACAGATTCACTTGTAGGTCCTTAGAAAAAATTTCTTTATAAACAGACAACTTTAATTTTATGGAAGATCTTTTAATCTGTAACAAAAAAGCTGAATTCCTACTTAAAATGGAACATCCTTTTGTTAGCTGCAGCTGATCCCTTTCTAAGTTTATTAATGCACTTCATTTTACCAGGTAAACCTTGAAGTCCTTTACTCATTTCTGTCACATTATTACTTGTTCTTTTATGACCTATGAAGCACTACTGTTCTAGAAATGCTAAATCCCACATTTATCCACAGTGAACATTTAGTCTACCTTCACTACTTCTGTA